ATGAATCATAATGTAAATATCTTTTTGTTTTCGGATGGCCTTAGGTGACCCCTGTGAAAGGGTCGTTCGACCCCCACAGGGGTCGCGACCCACAGGTTGAGAACCGCTGCTCTAGAATATCAAATAATTCCTTTTGCACATACTTTACTCTCTATTAATTTGGTTTGATATCTTCATTAAATGATTTCCAATGACATAAAAAACAGAGATCCATGCTTTATCTAGTTTTGTAAAATTTAATTCTTGGAGCTGGAAAATCCATTTGTTCTCTAAAATGGACCATGCATCTCCTGGAGCAGGCTACCAGCCAAAGGAAGTGAGATCTGCCAATATGGTGGCTACGCTGCTGACATGATATAAAGATCCACAGAGTATGGTGCCTGCCTTTCTACATCCTCTTCTTAGGACATGGGTCACTTGGGTTCCTTCTGTAAGTTATTCTCTTTGTACCGTGAGACTGTACTTTCCTAAGCATCCCAGGTTGGACCCAGTAGTGCCTCAGCCAAAGGCAACCAGAAGTAGGTTAAACAACCAGAAGACTTATGGACTACAAAGATATTTTGCCTGAGACCTCTTACCAGTAGGGGTCTTCCACATTGGATGGTGACCAACCCAGCCAGAACCTCTCTTGGGGTCTTATGATGTTGGGGTGTGGGGAGGAAACCTAAAGCACAGTAAGAGGGACAGCATAGGGTCCATGGCATGAGCAAGGGTAGCCCTCTCATAGAGTAACTGAAACAAACAGGAGCCAATTTAAAGAACGCAAAAGTCCTTGAAATCAAGAGCAGTGGCTGTCACATACATATACACAAATACATATACATGTATATATACATAGAATCCTTGTTTGAAGTGTACTTCAAAATGCCTCCCTGCTCCCGAAGGAGTTGTCTAGTAGTCTGTGTGTGTGTGTGCATGTGTGTGTTTGGTGGGGGTGGGGGTGGTGGAGGTTGGGGATACAGTGTACAGACTAAGAATATGAAGTGATTTCTATGTGCCTGACACTTGTTCTGGTTGGCTTTCCATAACCATTGGACAAAGACAAGTTCAAAGAACCTGAGTGCATTTCTTGTCTTTAATTTCTGATCAGCTTGGCTTGTTTCTTAGTATAATTCTAAAGAAATCGTGGCAAACTGGCAGAAAGTTTGAGAGGAGTTCGAGCCAGGCAGAAAGGGTCCTGTGCATAAATCTCAATAGTGAAAGGTATGAAGGGTGGCCCTGAGCAGCAAGTCATTGATACCTGGAGTAAAATGGGATTACGGCATGAATCGTGTCCCTTCATATATAAAAGCCCTAACCCTCAGTATCTCAGAATGTGACTATACAAGGTGTGATAAAAAAATAATGCAGTGAATAAAATAAAATAAAAATTACAGTAAAAGACACATTGCCGTGAATCTCCCTCAAAATATACCCCCTTGCTTCTAACACACTTATCCCATTGTTCTTACCACTTTCTGAAGCAAATCTGGAAGTCCTCTTTCATGAGTGTCTCATGAGTGTCATGAGTGTCACAGCTGCCTCAATGTCCTGAATCAATTCAAAACATTTATCTTTTATGGTCATTTTGACTTTGGGAAAGAGCCAGAAGTCACAGGGTGCCAGACCTGGTGAATAAGGTGGATGAGAAAACACCGTAATGTTTTTATTTGACAGAAATTGCCATACCAAAAGTGATGTGTGACAGAGAGCATCGTCATGATGGATGATGAAACTGTTTGCCCATTACACGTTAATGCATTGCTCGTGATCCATGATTTACGGCATACTTTAAAGCATACCTTCTCTCAACCGTAGCTCACACCTGACTGACTACACCGAGCAAGTTGAAACTTGTCACACACTGCTACTAAGGTTTGATGCGCTGCTTCCCGTATTGAAGATCCCTGCCTTTCCATTGGATGGTGCTCGGCAGCAGCATTCTCTGTATGTTTTGATCACACCTCATATTTGGAGATAGAGCCTTTTAAAGAGGTGACTAAGTTAAAATGAGGCCATTAGGGTGGACCCTACTAATCCAATCTGATTGGTATCTTTATAAGAAGATGACATTTGAATGCACAAAGAGACACCAGGGGTGTGCACCTAGAGAAAAGGCCATGAGAGGACACACCGAGAAGGCCACTAGGTACAAGCCAAGGAGAGAAAGGTCTCAAAAAAAAATCCATACCTGCTGGCCTCTTGATCTTGAACTTCTAGCCTTTAGAACTGTGAGAAATTAATTTCTATTGTTTAAGCCATCAGCCTGTGGTATTTTGTTATGGCAGTCCTACTAGAATAATACAGGTAGCATGCAGAAGAATGCACTCTGTAAGGAGTTGGGGTGTCTGAGATCTAGCTGTAGTGAACTGGTGTCATTTCTGTCCATTTGAGAGCATGATGGGAAGGGTAGGATATCTGCATTTGAGTGCCTACTGAGTGCAGGCAGTGAGATAGATAGTCTCTATATGCTCATATTTAATCCTCATGACAAGCTGGTAAATCGATTTACTCTCCATTTGCAGAAGAGGAAGTTGAGGCTTAGCCAGTAAAGCATCATGCCTGGGTTTACCAAAGAGGGTCAGGTGAGTCAGACCTCCAGGCAGGCACCAAGTAGCCTCCTAGGATCCCTCTGAGAGGGGGAAAGTTCTGGGTCAAAGACAGATTCCAGACAGGCTGGTGTTGAGACCTGTTCAAGGGCTGGCTAGTGTGGTAAGGCAAAGAGGCTCAGTCCACACACTTTGGGTTATAAGCATGGCCCTGCCACCTTCTCGCTGGAAGATCCTGGGCAAACCCCTTTCTCTTAGTAGCCTCATTACTTTACCTGTGAAATAACAATACCTCTTAAAGTATTGTGTTCAAACTTCATAGGATTATTGAGAAATTAGATAAATTAATACATTTAAAATACTTATCATGATACATATTAGTCAGGGTTCTCCAGAGAAACAGAACCAATAGGATATGTGTGTATGTGTTTGTGTGGAATGAGAGAGAGAGAGAGAGAGAGAGAGAGAGAGAGAGAGAGAGAGAGAGAGAGAGAGAGATTTATTTTAAGAAATGGGCACATATGAGTGTGGAGGCTTGGCAAGTT